ACTGGCTGTGAAGGATGTAAAATGCTCAATAAGGAGTCATGTAACTAATCTGAACAATCACAATTGTTAATTTTATTAGTCAGTCTACTTATATGGAAGAAATTTCTTCCCTCAGAAATCATAAGAAGTTGCCATTTGTGGCCACAATTTCACCTCTATTCTCACATTTTTCCTCTGTGTTTTTCAGGTCAAGTAAAGGTAGGGGTAGCTGGCAAAATCTTTCTAGTTTTACATTTGGCCTAAAACATACTTTCCTCAGTATCTGATTTGCATGTGACAGCCACGGCAACTGCCTGAACAGCCTGTTGGAAGTAGGTGCTGGACAGAAAAAAAACTGATCTAAAACTGCCTAGAAACCACACAAACTGTGTAGCAATATTATGTTATTTAATGGCCAGCACACATTTGGGATGATTCAAGGATGTGCTGTCCCAAAGAGGAACTGGGGAGGGCTTCAGGAGGAAGCATTTGTCTAACTGCCAAACATAATCTGATCTGTTATTATTAGTCACATTCTCGTAACAGAGCCTACTATAAATATATCAGCTGGTGAAGTGACACGTGAAGCACAAACCACAGAATCTCTGCAGGAGGCATGTCCCTCCCTCTGGAGGCTGCTGACAGCATTTGCTTGCTGGGGCCCCTGGCTCAAAGGGGCAGCACAGAATGGGCCAGTCAGGAAAATGGTTCACTGGCTTTTCACATCAGAAGCTCAACGGCAACCAACAGGGATAGAAGGGAAAGGACTAGCACAATTGATACACCATAGGTTTTACAACAGTGTATATGCCTGCTTCTGAGAAGGGACTGTCTTCCAATACTGACTATTTTTAATCACAGAATCACAGCATGGTTTGGGTTGGAAGGGACCTTAAAGACCATCTAGTTCCAACCCCCTGGCCATGGGCTGAGACACCTCTTACTAGACCAGGTTACTCAGAGCTCAAATTTTATTGGATGCAATTATATAAAACTGTGCCTGTGCATGATACAAATGTGTAAATACAAGAAAAGGCAGAGAATTATTATACTAAGTTATCATAACACAGAAGCCAGTTTTTTCAGAAATTAAAATACCTTATCAATATTTGGTGAAGTGTATCCTTCATAAAAGACCACAGAGCCTCCTCCACTTGCTGTTGGGAATTCTAAATTCTCATGTACCAGATCCTCCTCTATATAGAGTCTTGTCAGTTCTTCTGTTGTGTCTTGTGCTCCTTCACAGAAATCTGATTCTTGAGGCTTTGACTGATCCCCTATATTAACTGACAGATCTGCAATACAGATTTCCTCTTCATTTTCAGCAGTTGCAGCTAGCATTCTGGACATGGAACCACCTTCATATGGTGAAGGGATGTTATGGATAGCACCAACATAGTCACCTTCTCTTGCAGTATCTAACAAGTCTCTAGGTATTTCAATAACTAAAGAGTCAATTATATCTCTCAGGTCTTTATCTTTTCCTGATTTGGTATTGTTGCTGACATGCTTATATGCTATGTCATGAGATGAGCTGGCTGAAGATGAGACAGAGGTAGATACAAGAAAGGACAGAGGAAGAGCTGTAGGAGAGCTGAGAGACACCTCTGTATTTGGAATAAGGTGATCATCCTTAACTCGGTGAATGCTATCACCTGGGGACATTGCCACAGTTTGGGAGGCTGCTAATGCCAAAGAATCGAGTTCTTCTAAGTCACAGAGAAAACTGTCAGGAACTGATGGAGCAATTGAGTTGCACACGTTCAAAGGTGAAAAACCAACAGTCCTTGAAAACAAGTCACTAGTGGCAGGCTGGAGAATGTGTGACCAAGAGGAGGAAACTTGTCTGGAAAGTGGGGACAATGCTTGGGAAGGCAACTTCAAAAATAAGAAAAACATGGGAATTCAAATAAATAGGCATGACAGAAAATTAGGATAAGAGTAAACTGGAAAAGAAAAATGGCTGTGCCATCATCTGGATTACAGGGTACAATTTCAGTGACCACGGGTGTTTTTTTTTTAGCAGGAAAGACATTTGAAACATGAAGCTGTATCAGGTTCTGGCTTGGGGCATAAATGTCAGACAGTAAGACAGATCTGAATCATTACATTCATGAAGGCAACCTGCATTTGATCTGCTTAAGTTATGTTACTTATGGTTGGTGAGCCTGTCACAAGTTATTAAATCATACAATTAATATTAACAAAATTTCCCCCGAATGATTACTGTTATTTTAAGAATAGTATTTTCAGAAGTACACTTCAGGAGTCATTGTTTCTTTTAAAGTGTAACAACTGAGGTAATTTCTAGTTATTCAAATGTTAATACTTATACTTTTTCTTAGCACTTCTGAGTAAATGTTTAAGAAACATCTTTAATACACTGCATACTTTTATTAAGGCATGAGCAGCTACAGAATGCATTTGTTTTGCAAAACTAACCCTCAGTTCAAAATGGCATCAACATTTGTGAAAGGTGCATTCAATTCAAACTGAATGTAGGCAGTCAGCAATGATTTTGAATAGTGACAGCACAGTACACAGCAGTATATTTTGAGTACCGTTACACAATATTGATTGAAGTATCCTTCTGGTAATAGAAACGTCCTTTTCTAAGAATGAGAGACTGGTGAGTCATACGTACACAGCATCAGTAGATATCCATTGCTTCAGTAAATACTGAAAATGCATTTTTGTAACTATTAATCCTCCAAATTAAAATCAAGCAAAAAAATCATTTGATCTCATTGTTAGAGCTATCCAGAATGATTGGATGTACACCTCTAAGTTATCTGGACTACTATAGACTGCAAGTATTAATGCAGTATAGCAGAATAATTTCAAAAGTCTCAAGTAACGTCACAGAATAAGAAAGTTAATATACTTACCTTCTGCTTGAGTTTTCTTGAGGCAAATAGCTGTATTTTATAGTTAGACAAACCTTTGTAACAGAGTCTTTTGTACCAAAGTAAACAGTATAGACTGATACAGTGCTAAAACAGAGCTAGGCTGCTACAGTATTTCCTCACCTTTCCTCTTGAACAAGGGCCTCTATGCTGTGGTTTTAAGGTCAATAATTCAGCTGAGGAGACATTGCCGTTTTTACTTTCCCATGGCTACAAGCTGCACTAGATCTAAAGATATGGATGGACTAGGCCAAGTTAAGGAGAGCAAAACTTGCTTCTGACTTGTATTGCTTATTTATTCTATTGCCATTAGGCCAGAGAAGTTTAGTTCAATTGCTCTAGCAGCAAGGAGGAATAGGAATTGGAAAAGTCGCATCATTAAGTGTGGCAAACTCCAGAATACCTTCAGGACTACTGAAGTTCTTCTAAGTAGTTGGGAACAAGCTGTCTTCTTCCATGGTATTGCCATTTCTGAATACAGCTGAATTCAGAAACAAGATGTCTGTTTCACAGTCTCAGTAGAAGTTTGTTGGGTTTTTTTAGTTTATGCTACAACCCAATGATTGCAAAAGTATCCTATGTTACAAAAAAGGCTTCTTCCAATTTCCTCTCCTACAGAACTAATTTAGTAATAACTGACTTAAAAATAGTGGCAGGGTGGTTTTGTAATATGGATGTAAATGCTCTGAAGCATAATCTGTGCTCAGCAAGGATTACGGGGGTGACACAAACACCAGCCTGCTCCATAGAAAAAGGGGAGACACATCTTCAAACACAGAGAGACATCGCTGGAATATGGAGCACCCAAAATGCCTCATACTCTTGACTTGCCTTCAGGAAGCTCTGGATTCTTGTAACAATAAGGGGCCCTAACTTATGAATACCTCAGTTGGCAGCTACAGAATTTGATGGTACTTGAACAGTTTTGTTGAAATAGAAGAGAGACAATCTAGTTCTTTGTTGTGACACATTCTGGAAAAACAAACGAGACCTGTTCTAGCAACTATCCCAAACCAGCTAATATTGTTTAGTCACAAGCAGTATTTATAGAGGCCACTGTTGCTTGTAAATGACATCTTTCAGTAGATTTTACAAGCCCAAAGTCGTAAATAAACGTGGAATTGATTTCAGAGTTGAAGCATGTAAATGAGCAACCACATGCAAGTATATGAAAATAGAAAAGGGGACAAAATCAACTGAAACAGAGATTAATTGCAGGATAAGAAGTTTATAATGACATACAAAACCCACTGCCTATGCTGAAGAGATAAACAACAAGGAAGAAGAAGTTGCAGAGAAGTTTCTATCTTGAGTGTTCAAAATCATTGATAATATGTTAATGCTAATCACAGTTTGTATGCAGAAACTTTCTTAGTTCCTATCACTGCCAAAGATGTTATGTTCCCTGCACCAGTGACTGTGAAATCTCACAAGTGAATGACAAATTTCTGCAATGATTTGTGGTGGTTACCTAGACTAGCAAGGAACCTATGAGACACATTTGTGAAAAATTACTACTATAAAGGTTTGAGTTTATTGACAATGTGATTACTATCACCTCACTCCTAAATGAAACAATACTATCACTGTTGTACCACTTCAAAGAGTGTACTACAGCCTCCTCTTAGACTGTGAGTGGCAAAAGGAGGAAGGTTTTAGCACAGAATCACTAGCTGCTCTCCATTGCTTTGAAAGGCACAGAACTGGTGTCCCATGTGCTTATGGGAGCATAGGCTTTTAGGACAGTTGTGTTATGGTAATGTCTTCACAGTGCATTATGAAAAGTCTGCTAGACATATCCTTTATGCTCAAATTCTTGCTGAGATTTCCAAATAAATTTTTTTCTGTTGACTTGATTTTTCTACCAAAATTTTGCCTGGCCCTACTCTCAATAATGTAATAGCTAATGAATAAAAGTGCACAAATCCTGTCAGAATGTAAGACACATACTTGGCTATTAAAAAGAATTTATTAACAAGATCGTAATGCAATTCTATTTATCCTGGAAAGAAAATGTAGAGTACTTAATGCCTCAGTTATGTATTATGTTAACAAAAAAATTACAGGTGCTTCTAAACCCACTGCAAGGGTGACAGCAAAGAAAAAAATTCTTACCTTAGTTGAACTTAAATTGTGTATTCTGTCACTAGAATAGCTTTGGGGTATTGGAGGATCAGGGTAGTCATCAACATTTTTTGATGCATTCTTTTTGACGACTTCTACATAGGAAACAGGGAAGATGCCTTGTCTGTTGGTTCCTGGTATTTTACCCTCATACCAGTTTTGATCAACTCGCTTCAGAAGAATTACTCTGTCTCCCTGAAATGCATTATGAAAATGAGTTATCATCACATACATTTTAAGTTAATTTTGTGAACAGTAAGTATTATTTTAACACATAGCATTATTTTCAATGCAGTGCTGTTTCCCATCAGTCTTGAGCATCATCTCCATTTTCACATTTCTCTTTCCATTTATATTAACCATGTATAAAACTACCATTCCAGCAATACAAGGGGCTAGTCAGGGACTGCAAATGCTATTCTTTTATCAGAGGCAAATCTCATGTAGTCTCCTACTCTTGGTTGGGAGATTAACATTTACACTTCTCCTTGGAGTGTTATAATTGTTGGCCAACTACTAGCTAAAACCTTAACTATAATACACAGTAGTGACTGCTATGCCCATATTTCCTTAAAGGTGATAAAGGTTTAACAATGAAATCCATGCAAGTGCTTTGCTATCAGTTAAACTGGAGTAAGTAGAGGTAGAAAGGTAAAAACTGAGTCCATGGGAAATACGAGAGAAGGCAGTGCTTTGCTGTGTAAAATAGATGGGCAGCAAGCTCACTCCCTGTTTTTAGAGAGCTTAGCAATTGAAATGGAAAACATCAACTTTCTATACAAACATTTCTCTGTAGTGAAACTTCATGAGCTACCTCTTCTTTGTTCTACATAATGTGCTTTTTTTACTATGTGTCTTTTTGTAACAAATCCCTCCCGACTCTCTTTGGTTTCTTTAATTTTGTTTCTGTAGTTGATGTGTGGAGTTCACTGAAATTGCCTTTAGTGAGATGAACAAAAGAAAACCAGTGCAAGTTAACTATTCAAAACAAACCAAAGTTGGGCTGTAAAGTTCATGACCACCATAATAAACATAAAAGATAATTTTAAGAAGAAATAAATCATCAAATTACCCCAACCCTTAATTTAAGTTCCTATTCCTGATTTTTTTTCAGACCTCTTTGACATTTACTCATTTCAAATGAGTGGAAAATACCCATTATCTTTAGTAATGCTGGATTAGGCTCTAGGTCACCAACAAACAACAGTATCCTTACTTCTATTTCAAAAGAAAAACAAACCACCAAAAAGCTTCTATAAACACTAATTCTTAAAAAATAAGACACAGAACTCCTCAGTGGATAAGAAGGACACAGAAGAAGCATGTACATACAAGAAGTAATACAACAAGTATTTAATATCTGCAATAATAAAGTTTCTCTGCGGTGGCAATATTATCTCACATACTTCAGAAATCAAACAGTTATTTTGCTCATATGCAACACAGTATAAGCATAGGAAAGATTAGAACATTATAAAAAGGGAACTGTTTTTAAATGAAATATTTGCAAGAACTGGTGCATTCACAAATATATACCTGAGCCTTTTTTCTGTATCTCTTACTTTTTTCTATTTTTTTTTCTATTTCTTCTATATTAAAAACCTTACCATAATAACTGTAACAGCCAGGAGTAATTATTTAAAAAAGGAATGGATAATAGAGATGAAAACACAAAATTCAGGTGGGCAGTTTGCATGTGCTAATCTACCACAATCCGATTTACATACACAACATACTTAGCCTATTTGCAGGTAGCTGTAAAAGACTTCAAGCCAACAAGTTACTATGTTAGAAGTTTCCTACCATAACATTGCTTTGTGCATGGCAAAAACTGAATGCAGAGTGCACCAAAGCACAGGATTTTAAATATATATTGATTATGTGAAGCAGTAGACACTGTAAAGGAATTTTGATGGAAGATAGTTCTAAAAATTGTACCTTTCTAAGCGATAACTCCACATTTGTGTCTGCACTGAAATTATATTTGGCAACAGCTTCTCCAATCTCTCCAATCTGTGCAGGGGGAGGTGGCCTGGCAGGCTGTGCTTTTTCTGGGGGAGAAAGTTTCTAAGGAAAAAGAAAACCCACATATTTTCATCATTCTCATGTGATTTGAGGACCTATTGCCCAAATTAATTAAAGGAATTAAAACAGAGAACAAACCTCAACATAAGAAATCGGGAATATTCCAACTCTTCCATGGTGCTCACCCTCATACCAGTTTTGATCAATTTTCCTGAGGATATAGACAGTGTCTCCTTTCTTAAAGGACAGCTCTCTGTAACAGATTAATTTGTATCAGATGTTTATAGCTTTACACTGAACTCTCCTACCTGCATAGTTCCTAGGATCTTTACTGTCTGGATCTGAAACAGAATGTAACAACTAAACATTTGAAGAAGAAGTGTCACAGCTGTGGTACATTTACCAGGTGATGGAACTGTCACAGCTGTGGTACACTGACCAGTTGATGGCACTTTCACAGCTGTGGTACATTGACCAGTTGATGGTACCATATAAAATCAAATGATGCACATTTATGAATCTCCTGTGGTACCCATAAGTTATACAGGTCTTTTATACTGTGACTCCAAGAAATATTGCTAGTTATTACCAGAGCACTTAGTATGGCATCTGCATGCAAGTATGAGATCTTTTGGATCACCTGTTTAAGTACTGCTTTTATGACAGACAGCAGAAGGGTATTTGGTATTCTGTATGAAATCAGTAGGGAAAACCATAAAGTATATCTCATGTCTCTATAGCCTATCACTACCTTTTTGCAGCAGAACAGCTTGGTGTGCTTCTGCTCTACACATTTCTCTTTCAACACAGATATTCAGAAGCATGAAGAACACAGGATTATGTTCTAACCATTTCTGGTACTCAGAGCCTGTGATATGTTTAATGTTGGATACCAAAAAAAAGGGAATTATCAAAATCAAGAATATTTTCAGATCCTGGCCTGGGAGATTTTCACCATATAATCCATTTGGTTTTTCAACAGCTAATCTGCTGTTCTGATAATTCAAGTTCTGAATTTGCTCCCAGACCCAGCTAATATAATTCTAATGTCAATGCTGGGTCATATCTAAAGACTGTTTAAAT